TGTGTATTTTGTTTATATTACATTGTGTTGTGGGGACCAAATGTCCCCCACAATGTGATAAAAACCTGTTTTTTTGACGTAGTGGGGACCATTTTTCAGGTCAAAAGATCTGTGAATGCAATCAAAACTACAAATGCCATAAGTCTCATATTTAGTCTGGTTATTTATGGTTAAGGTTAGGGCTGGGTAGGGGTTAAGGGGATTAGCGTTTTCCCCATAGAAATGAATGGAGAGTCCCCACAAAGATATAATTACAAATCTGTGTGTGTGTGTGTGTGTGTGTGTGTGTGCGAGCGGGGATACCTATCCTTATGGGGACACAATGTCCCCATAACGTGATAAATATCTGTTTTATAAGGGAAAACTCTATTTTATAAAAATCGGTGACTGCTATGAAAAAACTAAAAATGCAAAAACTCTTGTATTTTGTTTGGTTACTTATGGTTATGGTTAGGGCAGGGAAGGGGTTAAGGTTGTCATAGTTAGCGTTAGCATTTTTCCCATTGAAATGAATGAGCAGACCCCATAAGGATATGTTTACCCTACATGTGCGTGTGCGTGTGTGTGTGTGTGCGAGCGGTTATCCATATCCTTTTGGGGACACAATGTCCCCATAACGTGATAAATATCCGTTTTTTTCCCTTATGGGGACCGATTTATTCTTGCAATAGTGTTTTTTTCAGTTCTTTTGATTCTGTTTTGCATAGGTTTGTTCCGTTTAATTGCAAAAAATTTGAAATATAAAATATTTTCTGTGATTCATTTTATTTCAGATGTTACTCTAAAACAAATGCCAGTTTCACAAACGGATCAGTTCCTATGAAGCAGCAGCGGACGGCCCCCCAGGCAGAAGGGCTGGAAATGATACCCCTGGGTCACGTGACCCAAGGTTGTCACTCCCCTAATGGCCCACAATGCCCAGCAGACGAGTGCGATCTCACTGGGGAGGATCTGGAGGAGAAGGAAGTGCCATCCTCTTTGCAGCTCTCTTGCTGTCAGGCAGGAGAACATCAGCACTGCATGTCAGAAGATAGAGGTGGGTTCACTGCAGGTGCAACTTTACATTCAAGCACGTCCTGATTTCAATCTTGAATCCTGAAAGAATGCAAAGTCTAAAGTCACATATTTTTAACAAATAAAATGTCCCTGTTGGTAGAGAAACTTTCCGCTGTGATACTGAAACTCGAGACATTTCAGCCTGAATTGTATGTACAGATTCTAACTTAGTTAAACTTTAGATTAACTAACTTTAGATTCCTCTGTTAATGAATGGTTATTACTTGCACTTGTATTGCAGGTGATGAGTTGCAGTGCAGAGACACAGAAGAATCTGAATTGTGTTGGGACAGCCTGGACCTACCTGAACTTGACTGTAAGGAGAAGGCAGGCTGGAGATCGGGGGATATAATAAAACAAGCCTTAAAAGAGACCTGAACGCACAGCCCCATACCCCCCCCCCAACCCCCCCGTAGTCCGCAGTATGGATATACACACAAAGAGGCAGCGCTTGCACTCAGAGAAACAGGACTGGAGAAAAACCAGGAGCAGCCAACACAGGGGAAACACAGAGCAGCTTCTATGATGTCATAGACAATAATTTCCATGGCAACAAGGACACAGCGCAGACTGTGGTCTGATCTCGGACGAGGGATTTAAAGAAAAAAAGAGATGCGAGTTAGAGACTCCAACTACAACCCATGATTGGGAAGAGAGAACACAACAAAATCTCTGTATAAAACTTATTTATTTTTCGTAGTAGTAAAATATTTCATATGAATGTATCTGTTTTAAGAAAAGTTTTTCTTTTATATTATTTAAGCTTTTTATTTTGTTCTGTGCCTTTGCTGTGCTTTCCACACAATGTGGAGATTAGCCTTTTAATGTGTAAAATTTTTTTTTTTATATAATATAAAGAGAAATTATGGAAAATAAGATAGACTTGTACTGTACTTTTTTCTTTTTTTTTGCTGCAGTGCATGAACCAGACCTAAATGACATTGTGGCTACCAAAACATCGTTTGGAAAATGACAAAGTGACCATACATTTTTTTTTCACTGCCAGTAGTATCTGTTAACAGATTTTTTTTTTTTTTTTTTTTTGTGACAATCGTCCTAGATCACGAGTACATTAGCTGGCAGGATGCGAAGACTTCACCAAGCTGTATCACTCATGAAGATAATACACAGATCTCTGTTTCCTAACTTATTACAATTTCAAGGTGCCCCCACAGAATTGTGTTTATGTCAATGCCTGACTGTGCTGTTGTATTATACCATAGTGGTGTAGTTCCATATGCTGAACATTAATTGTCATGTCTGTTCACAGGAATCTCATCTGGGATGTTCTTCTTTGGGCTTTTACGCAGGCAAAAAAAGCTTTGGTCAGTCTTGTTCAGTTTACAATGTGCTTTTCAAGCTGTGAGAATGTGTCATTTTCAGGTGGCCTGCTATTACAATGTCATTAATTATAAATTCATACATTTCAAAGGTTTTTTAAATGATACACCTGATTGTTCAGAATCACTACTTTAAAAGATATACAAAGTTGTCATATATTAAAATATGTAAAGCAATGTTGCCTAATGACTTGTGTTAAATTTCTTAATAAATCACTTATTTATGCTACATGAAATACGATGACCTAATGTGGAGAGAGAGACGCAAAGTTACAGAAGATCTTCCAGTTATAAATTGTAGAAGTGTAGTCTGGAATTAAACCTGTTACACTCTCGTCTATCTAGAGCTATTGCAGTACCACATTTACACATATGATTTTTTGCAGAATTTTTTTTGGAAATTCGTGAAAAATGTCTGGCACATACATTACCCCCGTGCTGCTGCCAGTGTAAATATATTTCCATTTCTGGTAATCATGCAAAATCTGTTCCTGCCGATTCCCATGTTCTTTGCATAAATACTTAGTGATGTTTTTCCTTTTTTGCGCACAGTGCAGTTTCATTCTGATTGGTTCAGTGGATGACCGGTAATGCGAAAGGAAATTAACGGCTCTATCCTGGCAGCTTGCATAACAATCAATACATTGTTCTTTTTCATATTAGCAGACTTTATTGTGCGCGACCAGGTGTTCAACATACAATTCAGACAGTGTTTTGTCGTTAGATACAACCCCTTTATCAGGCTGGAATCCAGATTTTCTCAATGCTGCCTTTCTTACCTCACTCATGCAGTCAGTTCCATGAATGCAGTTAATGGACTTTATTGGATTATGAAGATTAAGGAGTGACCGAGGTCCGGGCAATGTGGTGGCTCCGCTGTGTGATTTGACGTGTGGTGCCCGTCCCTCGTCCGATCTGCAGCTGTCATCCTGTCTTCAGGCCTCGGCTCGCTTGGCATTCTGCTTGCCCTGGCTGCCGTCCCGGATATTTGATTCTGGCTCCGACATCATCACCTGTTGTTGTATTGGAAAGCTTTATTCACTTACCCCGCCTCAGTATGTAAAAGTCACATTCCTTACACCTGACTTGTTTGTATTGCCTGTAACCTCTTTCTCTGATCCAGTCCTTGGGGACCCACAGGCAGTTCACGTTTTTGCAACCAGGAGCTGGGAGGGAGCAAAAATGTGGATTGTTTGGCAAGGAGCTGGGAGGGAGCAAAAATGTGGATTGTTTGGCAGGGAGCTGGGAGGGAGCAAAAATGTGGATTGTTTGGCAGGGAGCTGGGAGGGAGCAAAAATGTGGATTGTTTGGCAGGGAGCTGGGAGGGAGCACAAATGTGGACTGTGTGGGAGGGAGCAAAAACATGGCCTGGCTGTGGGACCCAGAGAACACTGCTATACAAAAGTAAGGGTTGGGAAACACTGCTATACAAAATAAAGGTATTCAGGTCCATCAGTAGGTAAGACACTTGCCCCCTACTCCCAATGGCCTGTCCGATATGTGAGAGTCCTCAGAGAAATATCCGTAGGTCTTGTGATGAAGCGGCACCCAATGGGAAGGTCGTTATACGTGGGTAGTGATACATCTGTGCCGTGTTCAGCCGTCGTCCCTCACTGCGAGAGAGAGGATTACGTGAATCATAGAAGACCTTTGTGTATTAAAATGGATCAGGTGACAGTGTCCTAGGATTAGCAAATGAAAGGGAGAACCAGACGGCCGAATAGGAAGTGAAAAAAAAAACGCATTTTAAGGGAGGGGTGGAGATGCTGACAGAGGTCAGCCCTACTGATATCACGGGAAGATAAATCCTGAAATGACCCTAAAAGATGTGATTCTTTCCCTGCCTTGTCTATCATCCCGGACTGGTTCCAGTCCGCCTTTATACCTTCCACCCCTGCCTCACCCTGTCATTAAGTGGCCCCATGAAACAAGGGCGCATATTGTACATCATGAATTCTTCTGCTCTATACCTGAGGCAACCTGTTAACACCAGCCTCTCCTGGTGGCTCGTCTTTCTTCAGTGCAAATAAGTATGAAATCATATTTTCTTAGCAGAAGATAAAGGAGAATATCAAAAGTGTAAAACCATAAATCAAAGACACACATATATCATAAAGCAAAAGAAAGTAGTTCAATATACGAATAAACTAAATTAAATAAGAACTGGTGAAATTCACAAAGCTCTTCTCATTCAATTCTGGCATCCTGTTTTATTCAGGCTCTGTTACCAGTATCCATTTCTAATTTTTTCATTAGCCATTTATCTGAGTACGGTTACAGTAATCTAAAACTTATCCTAGAAAATACAGGAGATATGGGCTAATTTTGCCAGTCTAATCTTAAATGGGATAGTGCTCTTTTACAAGCTATGTGTTGCACATGCAACAATATGCTAAAACCACTTTTCCAGACACAAATGCACCTGTCTTTGAGTTCTGAGCAGTGAAAATCTTGCACAATAATCTTTTTTTGTTTTTAATGTTAATAAAAGACTGCAAGGTACACATTTTGAATAAATCATTTTACAGAAAATAACATAGCAACTAAAACATTTTGGACAAAATCCTGTTCATGATTTATTTACAATATAAATGTTTCTATTTTTCTATTCTATTTGGGTATGTGGAATGTGTGAGGACTCAACAGCTACACACAACAAAACATGAAAAAAAAATCCATGACTATTTTGTCCATGTCTGTGTCATTGTTAGAAACATATTGTGTCTTTAGCTAGTAGCCGTTACGGTTATGGTGACATTGACAGGGTCAGCATTGTCTCCTGTGGGTGGAAGATCTTCAGCAGACATGGGACTTCCTGACACCACAGCTGGCCCTTGGAAAGAGAATCGGAAGTATGGAATGAAGCATCACCAGAACATGATAATGAGCTGAAAGACTAATGATCTTCAAGCTCAGACAGCTTGAACTTAAACAAACAAACAAACAAACAAACAAACAAACCAACCAATAACAATAATACTGGACACAATGTTTTATGTCTAAGGAAAGGTTACTCTTGGGTAACATTTCATCTACTTTATTGGAAGTATCTGATTCAGTATGTAGGTAATAGGGCGAAAAATAGTGTGACACTTGATTTTGGTAGAAAGGTACAGTATGCTTAGCTCCTGGGTTTGAGTCTCTGCTTGGGTTACATGTGTGTGGAGTTTGCATGTTCTTCCCGTGTCGTTGTGGGGTTTCCTCCTGGTACTCCGGTTTCCCCCCACAGTCCAGAAACATGCTGAGGCTAATTGGTGTTACTAAATTGCCCTTAGGTGTGCATGTGTGAGTGAATGGTGTGTGAGTGTGCCCTGCGATGGGTTGGCCCCGCGTCCAGGGTTGTTCCCTGCCTCGTGCCCATTGCTTACGGGATAGGCTCCGGACCCCCCGCGACCCAGTAGGATAAGCGGGTTGGATAATGGATGGATGGATGGATGGTATGCTTAGCTAATGAATCATTTACATATGATGAGAAAAAGGGATGCTGGGAACTTCCTAAAAGAGCCGCGAGGCCTTTTGGAGGATGGCAGAGGTCCACCTGGGCTGGGGGAGGGGGCCCCCTCCTCGATGTGGCCCTCGCTTTGTGACCTGCTCACCACTTCATCTTCGGGGTAGTTGATGTTCTCCTGGGATTGACTGCGTTGCCTGAAGACGGGCATATTTACGTGCAGGAATGCATTCTCTATGTTTCAGTGTTAAGCCTGTTTCCATAATTAAATTAGTTGGCCAAAATTGAAGTAAGAACAAGAAGCCCAATATTTAAGCAGAATTTACTGCGGGGCGTGAGATTGTATGTAATTATGCAAGATGTTAATTTTCTGTCAGTTTGTTATACTTACATTCCAAAGAAAAAATCATGAAGTCCTGGATAACACATAACACAGTATTAGTGTTGAACTTTATTGTGAGCAAATTAATATTTCTCTTGAGTTAGTTATGTAAGATGTAATATACAACTACTCCACATTTAAGTGTGATTTACTCAGAGCAGAAGAATACATTGTGTACTCAAGACCCAGGCAAAGCGAAACTAGTTTTATGTTATAAATAAAAAGTAAACGGCATCCCTGTTTGACCAGTCAGGCAGAAATGTCGAACAGGAAATGCACGAAATGCCTCAAGTTAAAAAGTGTGAAAACTATACCGTCGATTTGATTGAATTAGCTAAAGTGAAAACACACGGTAATAAATATGGCCTGTTTTAATTTTACCATAGTGACATAATTTACTAATAACAAATAAACATTAATATTTCATGTGCATGTGATTCAAAGCTCAGACATGCTCCTGTCGCACTTACGTGGGTTGATGTTGCGGTTCCTCACGATGAACATGAAGAGCAGCATGGTGCCAATAGTGGCTACAATCATGCCGCCAACCGCAGCCCCGATGACAGCTGGGTAAGCATTGAATGGAGGGTCCGCTGGAAAAAGAACAGTCGGTTCAGCAATCGCTTCAATAAAACGGCAGTGAGGACAGCTTTCTGGGTTCATGGTTACCTTATCCAAATGTAACATGTTATTCCATAAAGTTTTCCGGCTTTGTACTGCTATGTAATTATTAGGAGACAATGCTGTTTTTCATTCTTTCCTTGTCCTAGTGTCAAAGGCATGATTTATTGGTTCTTAGAATGCAAAGGTACTGTGCTGTTGGTCTTTACATTAAAGGCAATTCTCTGCAGGTGATGAATCCATTGAAAGGGGTCTATAATTTTAAAGGTCTCAGCTGCACTGTCTTTTGGTGATATGTCATTTTTGGTAATTGACATGTGAACAATGTACATTTCTGCAAACACACGCAAAAGTTCTCTCTGGCGTGAAGAAAACAATGCGTTGTTACCACAATGAATTTGTTCGCTCATAAGCTGAAGAGTCAATCTAAATATACTGTCCGTGAAAGACAAAAACTTATTCCAAAGCTATTAACACAAGAGGTGAAAGGTCAGGTAAGACATCAGAAGACAGAGAGATGACATCAAAAGGGCCAAACAGAGAAGACGACTGAGATGTGGTGTTGTGGAGTTGTGTGACTGTTGGAGAAGGAGGTGAAACTGTCACCAAGCCTTTCACCTGAATGGAGTGCAAAACAAAAGGACATTATGGTTAGAAGCTCAGTTGATTTTCATTCACTCATACAGAAAGTCCTATGAATCACACAGGTGATAAATAACCTAATTTCCTTCACCTGTTTTCCAAGTAACCCATTTCATTAACGATGGGAAGGATGGGAAGCTATGTTATTAGAATATATTATATATATTTTTGCATCTCAGTATTGCTTGCATTGCAGAAGCATGTAAAGGCCAAAAATTTTTTAAAATCTGTATTTTTTACAATATAATAAACTTGCACTATTGCTCAGCCTATAAAAACCCTGAAGCAGAAAGAGCACAAAGCTTTCATAGTGTTACTATAAAAGGATGAAACCATCTGTCCGTTTTATAAAAAACACATCAAAGACCTTTTTGACAACACATTCCTCATTCTGGAGGCTGAGTTATGCTGAGTCTCCCCATCTAATCACACTTGATTAGGGCCTGTCCGTATGTGCAGAGAAATTCTGATGGCCTGTTAATGTGTGGTTTTGCACGCCTGAAGAAGTGTTGGAAAAAGGGCATGGCTTTTGTTTTTTTTTGGGGGGGAGGGATCTGCTGCCTCACACCTCCAGGGTTGCGGATTTCAATACCGCCTCTGCCCTGTGGGTGGGGTGTGCTTGTTCTCCCTGTGTCGTGTGTGGGTCTCCTCCAAGCACTTGTGTTTCCTTCTGCAGTCAAAGGGGTGTAGTTAAGCTACCTGACATCCCAGATTGCTCATTGTACCCATGGATCGGTGATGGGTGTGTTGCCCACCACTGTACCCAGGGCTTCCTGTAGTTAAGATACCTGACTTCCCAGATTGCCCATTGTACCCCTGGCTCGGTGATGGGTGTGTTGCCCAGCCCTGTGCCCAGTGTATCCTGTAATTAAGCTACCTGACATCCCAGATTGCCCATTGTACCCATGGATCGGTGATGGGTGTGTTGCCCAGCCCTGTGCTTCCTGTAGTTAAGCTACCTGACATCCCAGATTGCCCTTTGTACCCATGGTTCTGTGATGGGTGTGTGTGCACTGTACCCAGGGCTTCCTGTGACTCCTGGTAATCCCCATCGGAATAAGTGGTTAGAAGATCGTAAACCCCTTTCTTTACAGTCACAGCATCACATATGAGAGAGACCCATGTTCTACTGGGCTCTAGGCCATTATGTCTTATAACACAGTATTTCCCAACTTAGTCCTTGGGGGGCCCCAAATGGTCCACATTTTTGCTCCTCCCTAGCTCCCTGCCAACCAGTCCACATTTTTCCTCCCTGTCCGAGGGTTCCAGAGCACCGGTTTAAGAAACACTGCTATTATTATCATCTGCTCCCACAACACCAGCACCTTCGTCTCACTCCACCAGGACCTCATCAGCATCTTCGTCTCACTCCACCAGCACCACACCAGCACCTTCATGTCACTCCACCAGAACCACACCAGCACCTTTGTCTCACCTGGGGTTCTGCCCTCTGAGGGGTATCCCAGAGTGCGGCGATTGACGGCCATGATGCGGAATGTGTACGTGACAGCGGGTTCCAGCCCGACCAGCTTGTACGTGCGAGCGTCCGGCCCGATGCCCATGACCACCTGCAGCCAGCTCATGGTGCTGTTCGTCTTGAGCGCCGGCATTTGGGGTCGCTGCTGCTCCACGACGAACCCAGTAAGGTCACCCGCTCCTCGAATGGCCCACTCCACATCTACTTCCATGCGTTTGCGGCTGTTGTACATAATCTTGCTGATGGTCACGTTAGGTGGGATGGGATACCCTGAGCCAGATAATGAGGAAATAGCAAGTGAGTGTGATTCTGAGGACAGGCTGATGTCACAGCACTTAAGCATAACATTGCAGCATGAGGAGATGTTATGAGAATAACATAGCATTTACCAGTATATAAACTATAGAACAATTTCCAAAGAAATTCAGGCAGGGAATGAATTTATTTGTGCACCAAACAGAATGGCACTTAGGATTTTCAGTATTTAATGTCTACTCTGCCCCAGGTTTTCAATGATGGTTTGCATGCAAAACGCAAATACTCACAAATATGACAATTAACAATTAGCTAAACAAATAACTCTAATTTTCCATTAGAAAATCATTCAAAATAGTTTCAGGGATCCAAGGCTGCTTAATCTCCAGTGATGCCAATTACAGTGAAAAGGAATAATAAAAAAAAAACCTGACTCAAAAAATTAAAACACTTACTGTGCTTGACACTTGACCTCAGATAAAACTCACTGATTTAACCACAAATAACTGAGACAGATAAATGGGAAGAAAAAAAAATATTCTACAAAAATATTATACTGTGCAGCAGCTTTGATTAAAAACTGTGAACATTGACGCTAATTAAATTGTCCTGTTTTTCATATCCCGTCAAAGCCTGGAAGGGCGATACTGCTTCCATAACTGGACAGGTACTAAAATCGTAGCCCCCGGTCGTTTCAAGTCATTAACATATCATATGTAGCCGTACTGCGGTTGCAGAGCTTACGCTTAACGAGGAGCATGATAGGAACCTCGGCGCCCCCTACTGCATTGGTGGCTGAGCACCAGTACTGGCCGCTGTCTTCTTGGCTGTCTGCTTCGCGCACAGTCAGGTTGGACCGCGCCGACTCGTGGTATAACAGGTACTTGCTGGCGGTGTCCAACACCAGCTTCTTCCTGTTGTTGTACCATGTGATCCCCGTGGCCGGATAGGTGGCCTTGAGGACGCATGTCAGCTGGACGTCGCTGCCTTCGTAGACGGACACCAGGCTGCGATGTGTCACCAGTACAGGGGCCTCTGCGGAGAACGACGGTGCCGTGAACGTATCAGCATAGTGAAAACTGGTCGTGTTTAAGTCTATTATTTTTTGAGGCTTTTCTTGGTTGTCATAGTTTCGATTAGGGTTTTTCCCATGTAAATGAATGGACGGTCCCCACAAAGATATGAGTACAGGTCTGTGTGTGTGTGTGTGTGTGTGCGTGTGTGTGTGCCCCACTCATATCCTGTCCAGGGCGTTCCTCTGCCTTGTGGGATTGGCCTCAGATGTATAATTAAATCAAGGGAAGGGACTGGAAATAAAACAGCATCCACACAACCCTACATGTACTGAGTCTGAGCTGGTAATTATTTTGGCTTTAAACAGTACATATCATTTTATACTAATCCTGCACAGAACATAGGGGACTTATCATTAAACACAGATTTTGCTTGATTGTCACAGATGACAAATTGCAGATTTGATTTAATGTACAAAATTTGATTTTGAAATCATGAATAGTTTATATGTTTAGCAGTGAAGTCGGCTGGGAAATTTAATGACAATAATAATAATAATTATTATTATTATTATAATGGTAAACTATCATTATTTACATTGAAGACATCATGTTTGGTTTTGTATTATCTAGGTACTTAAATAAAAAAATAAAATAAAAAAAATAAATAAAAGAGCTTCTCTCCAGCTCTGACGTGGGACCAGAAGCCGCCGCCTTCTTAGACGTCCTTCACGCCCCAGCCAGAGTGGCCCTGTTCTTTTACCCAGAAGCCCCGTAGGTTCCTCTGCACGCTTACCCAGCCTCAGGACGCACTGCTTGTTGGCAGCGGAAAGCGGGTGCGCGGCGTGGCATGTAAAGCCTTTGCCGCTGAGGGCAGAGCTGGACCTCAGCACCAAGATGTTGGCCTCCTCCTCTGAGCTGCTGTAGGTGTCGCCGTTGTTGGACGCCCACCACATGAGCGCGCGGGGGAAGCCCCCCTCCCAGGAGCAGGAGAGCATCAGGTACTCGTTGTTTCGTGTGGCGTAAGCAAAACACCGGGGCTCACCCAGGGGCAAATCTGAGAGCAAAGGGGGGCAAATCTGAGAGCTAGCNGGGGGCAAATCTGAGAGCTAGCGGGGGCAAATCTGAGAGCTAGCGGGGGCAAATCTAAGCACGAGGGATATTCCCACATAGGAGACATTATTGGGGTGTTTAAATAAATAACGGAAGTTATGTCATGATATCGTTTAAATAGCAAGGCAGTTAAGAAAAGAAGTATATATTAGTAGTGATTATCAGTCCAATGTACAATATAATACACAGTTTAATGACAGCTGAATTTCAGTACTCGCTCCTTACATATGCACTATGCGCTATATTTCAGCCATTTGATTTTTATTTCTTTTCTTATTTTCATATTTATTATAATGTCACTTTTCCACAGTTTTATTCTGTTATTGATATTATGATTTTTTTTTATTACGATCACCTTTCATTTCACTGCAAGTTATAGTCTGACAGTACACCAATCAGCCATAACATTAAAACCTCCTGCCTAATATTGTGTAGGTCCCCCTCATACCACCAAAGCAGCTCTGAACCATTGCGGTTCATCGACTCCTCAAGACTTCTGAAGGTGTCCTGTGGTGTCTGACCCCAAACAATGCATACTTTTAGTCCTGTAAGACGTGAGGTGGGTCCTCCATGGATCTAACCTCTTTGCCCAGCACATCCCACAGATGCTCGATGATTAGTGCACATGCGTCAACCGGCATGTAGCTTGTTCAGTTACATAATTTCCTCAGGGATCAATAAAGTATTCCGAATCTGAATCTGAATCTGAATCTGAATGATCCGGGGAGTTTGGAGGCCAGGTGAACACCTTGAACTCATTTTCATGTTCCTGAAACCATTCCGGAGCAATTTTTGCAGTGCGGCAGGGTGCATTATCCTGCTGAAAGAGGCCACTGCCAGTGGAGGATACCGTTACCGTGAAGAGGTGAACTTGATCTGCAACCATGTTTAGGTAGGTGGTACATGTCAAAGTAACATCCACATGGATGCCAGGACCCAAGGCTTCCCCAGTAGAACATTGCCCAGAGCATCACACTGCCTCCGCCAGCTTGTCTTCCTCCCAAAGTGCATCCTAGTACCATCTCCTCCCCAGTTACACATTCACATGATGTGACAGAAAGCGTGACTCATCAGACCAGGCCACCTTCTTCCATTGCTCCATGGTTCTGATGCTCACCTGCCCATTGCAGGTGTTTTAGCAGTGGACAGGGGTCGGCATGGGCACTCTGACTGGTCTGTGACTATGCAGCCCCATATGCAGCAAGTTGCAATGCACTGGGTGTTCTGACACCTTTCCATCATAGCCAGCATTAACCTTTTCAGCAATCTGTGCTACAGTAGCTCTCCTGTGGAATTGGACCAGACGAGTTAGCCTTCGCTCTCCACGTGCATTAATGAGCCTTGGACCCCATCACCGGTTCACCGGTTCACCTTCCTTGGACCAAGTTTGGTAGATACTGACCACTGCATAGTAGGAACACCAAAACAAGACCTGCCATTTTTGGAGATGCTCTGACCCAGTCCGTCTAGCCCTCACAGTTTGGTAAAATCACTCAGATCCTTGCACTTGCCCATTTTTCCTGCTTCTAAAACATCAACCTCAACAACTGACTCTTCTCTTACCTAATATAATACGGCTCCCTTAACATGTGCCACTGTAACGAGATGATCAATGTCATTCACTTCGCCTGTCAGCGGATTTAATGTTATGGCTGATAGGTGTATACTTTGCATGTGACAAATAAAAATCCTGCAATACTTAAAAGTGTAAAAATTAAATCGTAAGTGAAAACTTTATGGCACTAAGTGCCCTTAACGTTTTTTTTTTTTTGCCAAGAAATAGCGTTCACTCACATGTAGATATGCTGCACCTGTAGGGGGCGTCCAGCGCTACGTGAGAGCCATGACAGGTGAAGATGGAGTTATTCGTAGTGCTGGAACCAGGCTGTATCAGCGAGGCATTGCTTAGGGAATATCCCTGCTCACTGTCACTGACAGGAGAGGGGGTCCAGTGAAGGGAAGCTGGTGGGTAGCCCCCCTCCCAAGAGCACCAGAGGGCCAGGTCTGTGTAGTTGTTGGTGGGGAGAATTGTGCAAGTGGGATTTCCATCTGGTGGATCTGTAGGGACAGGATCATAGTGTAACAGAGAGTGCACAGTCTCTGCTCACGAGTATCAGCATTTATATGTGGAATGAACAAGTCCTATAGAGGCTTTTTGTATCGTATAGGGGATTCTTCCAAATTTTACTCCAAACCACCTGAGCAACACTTTCCATTAATGAAGATGAGATACCAGTGGGAAGGCTTCAGCCTAGAAGATGCCCAGAGCTCAGTTAATTATTGACAACCAGATGATATTACATTCTGAGCACATTCTGAAGTGAATCTACTTATATCCTTATACTTAAAGTTATGGAACTGACTGATAGCAGAACGTTATGGAAAAACTCTTTTGGAAATATACAAACATAAATTCATAAATAATTTACAAAGAGACTGATAGAACATATCATTCAAATTCCAAAGAAAAGACAGGTGTAGCTAAAAAAACACAGCAGTTTAAAATATTTCAGAAAAGATGTACATATATCTGTGTTCGCAATGGTCAAGAATGGGTCCAGAATCTCCGACAGGGAGAGTACAGCCCAAATCGAGTCCTCATAACCAGCACTGGGAAATAAAAGTCAAATTAGTGAAACCGCAAAAGCATAAAGCGGACAATTCTTAGTTAGCAACATGACAAGAGCAGGCCCCTCATCCCGTCAACGAGGCCCCTCATCCCGTCAACGAGGCCCCTCATCCCGTCAACGAGGCCCCTCATCCCGTCAACGCTTGACATGACGGAGTGATAGTTTTAGCGGCTGTATACCTTTCAGTCTCAGAAATGACGTTTAGTTCCATCACCTGGTCCCTGGAGGCTCCCCGGGTGAGAGGATGACATTTTTCTGCTCATCCCATATCCGGCGACAGCGGAAAGAGACCTTTGCGGCGACTGTGTATGTGCTTCTGTGTACGTATGGGTGCTTGCGGGTTACGGTATGCGTGAAGGAAATTGTAGGCCCAGGAAGGCTCAGTTTCTAGAAGGAAATAGGTTATATTGATAGGGAAGAAGGAAAGTAACTGGGAAATGAGACGATAGCAAGTGAAGGATGACAGATTTGTGGCTGATCAGCCATGGATTTAGAGACGAGAAGATCAGAGAGCAAATGAAAAGTGAAGCTGTCAGGGACTCACAGTAGACGGTGAGGGTGATGGTGGTCTTGGATCGGGTGTTGAGGTACGTGTTCTGGGCCAGGCAGGAGTAGTGACCGGTGTGCATCCGCAAGATCTTGGTGATGGTGAATTGCTGGCCGGTGAACACCTGCGAGTTGTTGTAAAACCAGACGTACTGGCTGGGCGGGTTGGAGGATGCCTGGCACATCAAGGATACGGTTTCCCTCTCTAGGGCCGAGTAGCCCCGCTCAGTCACAGAGTAGGGCGTGATGTCTATACGAGGCAGGTCAGGGCCGTCTGCAGCAGAAGAAAACAAAAACACCTCAGTTTGAGCAGCTCTGCTTCCGTGTTTCAGGCCTGCCTGCGTGTAGATGTTCTCAAAAGCATGGTGCCTCAAGAATCTGACATGTTAGCGAGAGGATTCAAGGTATCATAGACATTGAAGATTCAAAGCATGGATAGAAAAAAAAAAGATCATCACTGACAGATGATGTCGAGCCAGATGCGGTCACTGCGCTGCTGGTTGACCTCGTTGGAAGCCAGACATCGGTACCAGCCCGTGTGGTTGCGATTGACGCTGGTGATGTTGAGCAGGTTGACGTTGCCCTCAGCCAGATTTGCAAGCACACCATCTCGATTCTCTCGTTCCCATAGGTAGCGGATAGGGCTGGTGCCGTTCTCTAAGCCACAACGCATCCACACGGGTGTCCCCTCTACTGGGGAGCTGTCACTGACAATAACGTATGGCTTGGACACTGGCACTGGGGAAGAGAAGGAGGAGTAGGCGGCATAATTGTGACCGTGGCAACAGTAAGCGTGGCAACAGTGAGCGTGGCAACAGTGAGCGTGGCAACAGTAAGCGTGGCAACAGTGAGCGTGGCAACAGTAAGCGTGGCAACAGTGAGCGTGGCAACAGGTGTGGCGACAGCAGCTTAAGTAAATATCCAGCTGTACAAAAATGTAAAGAATGAAAAAAGGATTAATATCCATATCCTGACTGCTAAGAATATATATTGCAACTCTCTCTCAGCTCTATCAAGGGATCGGCATTCAGAAAACAAGCACATATTTGCAGTATAAAGGTTAAAATTCAGTGTAATTTTGTGTCGTAACAAATATGTATTTATTTTGTGCACATTTGCCCTGTTATGACAACAAAGCACATTTCCACCTTGATCCAGCGAATGCGTCCTTGCATACTTATGTCGATCCCTGCCTGCATCAGTGCGGAAGGACCTGAAATGCTGAGTCATACATACCTGGTCATTTTAGCATTTAGACCATAAAAAGAAGAAATGGGGGAAAATAAGTACTTTGTGACACAGAATAGATAATGCAGGTTTCTCTCACCGAGCACAGCCAGCTGGACGTAATAGTAGATGAGCTTGGCCCCCTGGGGGGTGTCATATAGGGCCTGGCAGGTATAGAGGCCGTGAGCGGCCAGGGGCAGCTTGTCGATGAACAGAGAGGCTGTGTTCGAGATCACGTTCAAGTCACCCAGACTTCTGGCCAGTGACTGCAATCTTGGGCCCTGGCCGAAATTGTAGACCACGGCACGGATGTTCTCAGTGCCCGGCACGGTAAAACCCCAGATATAGACGTCTGGCAGCGTGGGGCCGCACTCCAGGATCACAGAGCGACCCACCACACCTTTGGTCTGGATATGTATGTAGACCACCTCCCCAGGGTCCAGGATATCCAAACCTATATGTGAGTGGATGTAGGCATTAGGCGAGACACTTTCTGTTAATGTAATCGCACTGGCACAATCAGAAAGTTCACCAAAGCTAGCTGGAATGATCGTCATTCACGTGTTGTCATTGTCACCACGTAAAAAAAGCAGATATAAAACACTAAAACCAGTTCAATTTTGCCTTGTTTCTTTGGTGTTGATTAATTTCAACTACTGTAGTAAATTAGTCTAATACTGTATCATGTTTAGTATCAAAAGACAATGTGAAAATGCCCTTAGTTTGCTGAAAACAAACAATGTGTTATTTACGGGCTGGATTTTCATACAGGAAACACACCTGCACCTCACAGTCACTTCACTGCCCGCCAGTAATGTAAATGTATCTAAGATGTTATTACACTGAGTCTCAGCAGTAGAATACCATTCTCCCATATTGAACATCAAATCTGGACTCACTACACCACAGACAAGTAAAATTACTTCATCCCTCAAACATGTTGCCTTTTATGAGGTAATAATTCCTTTGGTTCTTAAATAGCTGCAGTGATCCCGAGTTTTTTCTCCGCTGCTAGTTATTCACAGCCCCATTTTCCTGACCATATTACTTCTTGCTAAGCTATGATAACTTCTGCATGTAAGGACATACCTTACCTTTCAAAAAAATCATGCCAACCCTACTGAAAAAGCATCTCGACCGGCTTAAGCTGGTTCACCTGGTTGACCAACGTATGATAGTTGACCAGCTAAAGGTATGTTTTTGCTTGATGGTTTAGCTGGTTGTTCTACCTAGTTTAGCTGGTCATATCAGAATGACCAACTGTTGATCCACCCACATCTTAGACCAGCTAAAACCAGCTAGAACCAGCTACCAGCATAAACTGGTATTTAACTGTTTTTTTTCAGCAGGGGATCTAATAAGATTGTGTACAGAAAACTCTCAGATACTGTGGTTATGAAACACTATTCCTTATCTTGACAGGGTTGTAGACTCTCACGCATCTGGCGTGACACTCACGCTTTTAGACTCTCAGGCCCATGCGAGAAATCTTACGGCAAATCTGTATTATTCCATTATAAACGTAGAATTAGCTACGTCAAAAGCATTGGGGCAGTTTGCAAACCTTACAGACTATTTACAAGGTAATAAAACTGCTACATGCAGGTAAATGCATGTGGATGTGTGTGCAGACTGTCTCGGATTGAAAATCTCACTACAGCCAGCTGACCAAACTTGGCAACTCTGTCTCGAGCCCCTTACCTTGCGAGGTGCTGAGAGAAAATATCAGGCAAACATAAGCCAGGTCAGCTAATCCATACCCCATGATGCCATGATTCTCTGAGGCGCTTGGCTGTTGCAGAGAAATAGAAGAAAAAGCTTTTAAGGGGTCACAGGTACAGGACCCAGCGAGATCATTTCCTAATAGCAAAAAAGCATCTCAGACCCCAGATGTAAGTCCGCATGTTCCTCTTACGCACAGAAATGAACGGAGTAAGGGGGCGAAAATTCTCTAAACTGATTTGCCCTGAATTATTGATGCGGCCACTTCTCAGTGACTGTGCTGGCATGAAGCGGTAAACCATAGAGAAGTATTGAGTGTCAGGCTGATATTTCAGCTTCGTCCATTATTGAGCGGAGAGGTATAGGTGTCGCATACTGTGTTGCCTTACAGTTAGGCGACTGAAGGTATACTTTCGCAATAAGCATCACTGGTGCACATGAAAAACAACATGGACCATTACACCCATTATGCTTTGTTTCTAAAACAATTGCTGAATGTTTCCTTAGTATGTGATTTGTATTGGATGGGAAAATCTCAACTCTGTGTTTTGATAGCTGATATTTACAGTATATATGATATTTTTTTATATATGATTTTTTTTTTGTTGAGGAAAATCACCACATTTTGTCAATTTAAATATTTTTGCTGTATTGATTTTGCATTATACTTCAGACACATGCTAGGATCTGGAAAATATAGCCTGTTAATCCAACCAATAGTCTGTCACCCAGCAGTGGCAAATCAAACTCTACCAGGCAATTGATTTTCATACAATTGTATATATCTTAGTCAATCTAATAGGAAATGACTGCAAACAACAATAAACTAAAACAGACAAGCTCACAACATGCTGTTTTTGTCTTTCATTGCCTTCCGCCATGCTGAGTCATATCAGGTTGGAGAAATACAATCAGTGATGCTATCGCTTACTTCCTGCTTATACAGCCCAGGAGCTGTTTTGCTCTGTACACATTAGCTCCTTGACTGTGGCACGTAAATTCCACCTATCGTGAAGTGTTTCTTTCTGTCTTAATTTCCATTTTCAGCCAGCCAGTCCTGCCCTAGTGACAGATATATAGAGCGCAGAGTATTCAGTGTTTTGGTTAATGATTGCGACCATATCAGGCAGCTGTCCATTTTGCCACTAAAATCTCGAATTGGTATGTCCAGGCAATGCCCAATCGCCTATTCAAATTTGATAACTGTAGTATCTAACCTGGTAAAATATAAGGGCCTTGATAAGCAATGATTACCAAGACCCATGAGGAAAGAGGCCAATGACTAATGATGGACCTTTCACTCCCAATCAAACAAGGCTTTTCCTTTATCCTTGGATCCAGAGTTGACATTGCTCCATAGACCCAGCCAATGTGAACCCCCACCGGCCCCTGGCAGTGCCTCCAAACCACGCCCCCTTCCCAGTGCGAACCCCCACCGGCCCCTGGCAGTGCCTCCAAACCACGCCCCCTTCCCAGTGCGAACCCCCACCA